GGTGCTTGGCTGGTGACACATAAAGAACTAATCCCCCTTATTATTTGTTATTGAATTCGTTTATTCTAGTTAAATTTGAGTACATTGTTTAATTTCATCATGTAGTAATGTAGTTGTGTTATGGTATAGTTAAATGAAAAGCCTGGGGCCTTTATCCCAGAAGAAGAGCTGAAGATTCGGAGTGAGGTCGAGATGGATATAGAGAGAGACTTAGAGGAAGAAATCAAAGATGGAATCTGCCATCTTGCTCTCAGATTGCACAGGCTTTATCAACACCAAAAGGAAAGAAGATCAAGTTATGCTGCTGCTCTTGCTGCTAGAGATGAAAGAAAGATGGAGAAAGCATTTTGTGAGGTGAATATAAACATCAAAATGGAAGGAGGAACCAAGATTGAAATAAAAGAGACCAAGAAACCAGCACCTCCTGATCAAAAGGGTAGTGGTCCTAATTGGTCTGGTTCAAGATCAGAAAATTATGTGCAACCATTTGTGAAGATGGCTAGAAATTCCAAGAAGTTTGATTGGGCCAAAACTCTGAGGTCAAATGTTGGCCCTGTAGCCTTCACAAAGAAACAATGGAAGCCCACATGAACTTGTGAAGGGTCTTGACAAAGAAAGCATATAGGCACTGAACTGATAACAGCTTCTCTCAACTGGGATGGAAAGTTAGAGATTGTTTTGGTTTGTTAAGGGTCTTGAGGTTTCTTTGACATGACAATAATTTCAGTGCTGTTGGGAAGTGCTGATGAGATATGTGATTTTTTTATAAGACATATAAATAAGTTGTGGAATGTTTTGGAGATATGAAAACATTAGTTGTGTTGTAGTGTTTCTAAGGGCCTGTTACTTGTTATGTAAACTCAATTTCCAAAACAAAAACAAACAAAAAAAGGAAAAGAAAATTTGTAATGTAAACTACTTTGCTTTTGTTTTTAATTGAAGATAGAGAAGCAATGAGAGGAGTAAATGGATGTTCGTAATTCTAGTGGTCAAGAGTATTCATTCATAGATTCATTGTATGCATAATATAGTGGTGGACTAGTCAGTTTTTAGCCGACTTAATATTTTTCCTCCCTTCTAATTATAGCTCTCAACCCAGCTTATTCAAGCCATATCTTCATCCCAACCCATAAGATTTTTAATATTTTGAAATACAATTTTGTTTTATAAATGAGGATAAAGATATCTTCCAAT